ATTTGGAGCGTGACAACGCTTTAACCAGTAATACCTTCCATTATGAATCGTTCCCACATAGTGAAATCAAGAGTCAGAAACGAGGAGGTTCGAAGATATATTTTATAGGCTATCAATATATTGAGAATCGACTGGGCTAAACTGGCTAACGATTGTATGTTAAGTTGAGCACGGCATTACCACTCGTGATCTACTACAGATGCATGACCGAGCGCCTTTAGCTAGGTGAGTCCATTAAAACTATTATGTGGTCAGCATCCAATGTCGAAGACTTACAGAGCTATTTATTTTAGGGATTTATTTACTACTACAGTGCTAAGAAATGATTTTGGAACAAATATATCCTCTCTTTTCCTTTCCACTAGATCGAGGCATATCATGGGACATCACAGGCGAATATAAAATGCAAGAGCGAACAAAATATCCATGGCATACAGGTTTTTACAACGAGTCGTTAATTCTAGGAACCTGTTACTTGAAGCAGTGGTGTGTGCAGCTCATTCACAGAAGCATACTAAAAAAGAATGTCATAGGCCGTAGGCCTTCTGTCCTTACTACACAAATAAAAAATCTGAATCCACCAGGGTTCTTGGTACCTGGTCCACCAGGGTTCTTGGTACCTGTGTGGTTGCGCCACAGGATTGAGCTGTACTATTCAGATTGTAGCGTTAAGGCCTGTACGGTGTCTGGTTCCTCTGCTAAACGGGGTTGAGCTGCACTGTTTGGGTTTTTACGTGAAAGTCCGGATGGTGTCTGGTTCTCCTGAAAACCAATGTAAAATTACCCTGGCCCACAAGGGTATATTATATAACTGTGAACAAAAAAAAGGGCAGTGATTTTTGTACTTGTTGTGATTATACTTGCTTTTGGTACTTATTGCACTAAAAAGCATTCTTGGTCTACTTTAACTAATAGTTCTTTGGTTAAAGCTTGAAATTTTTTGCTACATTTTGTCCTGGGTGCCTGTTTTTAGTCCTTGACTAACACTTGTGTTCACATTGTTATCATTTTTTGTTTTCAAACCTTTTAAATCGAATTACAATGGTTGGTAAGACTCACAAATGTGGGCAACCAAATTGTTTGTTCTCCGTTGAGGAGGGAATGCAGTGTGACGACTGTAAAAAGTGGTATCACAAAATGTGTACACGACTAAGTCCGACGGCTTACAAAAGATGCTCGAAGCCTAACTCGCATTGGCTTTGTGTGTTCTGCTGTACGGATAAAAAGGTACTAATACAGGAGGCTATGGGCCTATTGGCTTTGGCCTGCAAGAAAAACGATGGCGGAAGCACTGATAACAGGAGCACTGACGATGAAGAATGTGTCAGTGTAGTAAGTGCTGCTACTGGACCCATTAAACACCTGACTGCGGTTGACGGAAACGTGAAATCTCCGTTGATATTAACGAGAAATGAAGTGTCGCTTGATATTGACATCGGCAGTCATACACCTCTAGTCGAAATAGAAGATCCGGATAAAACTGTCACCGTTCCACATAGTCCAGGTGTGGCTGTTCTGAGTGGTGACAAATGGACTTCGGTAAGAAGAGAAAAAATAAGAAGAAAAAGGCTGTATGCAAAACGCAGCTGGTCGGCAAGACATTGGAAGGGATGTAATCAGAAGAAAAATCCTCACCGCGTGAAAAGACAGATCTCTCTGAGAGATCAGTCATTTTTTATAAGATAAGAGAATCTTCAGATACTGAACCAAAGGCAAGATTTGAACATGATTTCAATCATATTAAGACATCATTAAGTAAACTACTCCCAGATACAGTTTCAGGAGTTAGTATTTGTAAGCTTTATAGAATAGGAAAAATAGTGGATTCCGTAAGTCCTCAGAAAAACCGCCTCCTAAAGGTTACATTCAACACGGTGGAAGAAAGGAACCTGATTCTAAGTAATTCACGTAAACTGATTGGATCCGGAATATATGTCCGTGAGGACCTCAGCCTAGCTGATCGTATTAAGAGCTGCAGAAGCGGAAATAAACGAGCGTCGCCGAAACGGTGAAAGAAACCTCGTTCTTAAGGGTTTTCAGATTGTAAAAGTTCGGAGCAAAACGATCCCCAAGCCACTCTGGGTGGCAAGGGAAAGCTCTCCACAGACTTAAAAGTGTGCTACACAAATGCTCGCAGCCTACTAAATAAAATGGCGAAGCTGAAGTCAGTGGTGGATAAAGAAAAACCGGACGTTATTGCTGTCTCGGAAACTTGGTTAACGTCAGAAGTATTAGATAGCGAAATCCAATTGACTGGTTTCATAACCAGTAGAGCTGATAGATTAAACCGAAGGGGAGGCGGGGTTATTGTGTACACGAAAAGTACCCTAACCATAAGATTAGCTGAGACAGTAGCACATGTTTCAGGGACATGTGAACTGGTGAGATGTAAGTTGAAATGCCGAAGGCAAGATATTGAATTAGTTGTAGTTTATCGCAGTCCAGAATGTGTAGCAGATGATTTTCTCCTCAGTAAACTTAAGTCCTGGTGTAACAACGGTAAAAGCCTTGTAGTAGGCGACTTTAATGCACCATATATAAACTGGGTTAACTTAGAAGTAGAGTCATCTATATCGTCGTTCGACTCCAAACTGTTAGAAACCTCGATTGGACTAGCATTATTCCAACACATTAGAGATCCCACAAGATACGACTTAAGAAACTCTTCCTCTCTTTTAGATTTAGTCTTCACACACGGTGATGACGTTGGTCAAACGGCTTTTCTCCCACCACTTGGGAAAAGTGACCATGCAGTCATCTTATTCAAATTCATGGCTGAAATTGCTTCTCAAACAATTGCGCCGGTCCGTCCTAACATATGGAAGGCAGATATGCAGGCAATTAACTCCGCAGCATCGGCTGAGAACTGGGAAATTGACTCAAAGGCATCAGTACAAGAGGCATGGACTCTATTCCGGCAGTTATACAATCGGGTAACTCAACCATATATACCCTGGACTGTCCCAAAGAAAAAGAAGCACGGACATCCATGGATAGGGAGGGATATTCGACGCTTACTAAGACAAAAGAAGAAATGCTGGGATGTTGCCATCCACCTTGGCACAGCAGGTACGATGGAACACTAAAGATCGATAAGAAACGAGCGTATAACTAAAATTCGGGAAGCGCAAAGAAAATATGAAATGCAGCTGGCAGAATCTGCACTCAAGCAGCCCAAGAGGATATTCTCGTACATAAACTACAGAACAAGGATTCATCACTGGATTCCCAACCTAATTAAAGTAGGAAGTGAATCTAAAATGATAGAGGAAGATCAGGAAAAAGCTGAGGTTATGGCTGACTACTTTGGGGCAGTTTTCACTCAGGAACCTCCGTTAGAGAAAGAACCAGACCCAATTACAGAGTCAACAAACCAGCTGCTCACCGTGGACTTCGACCAAAACGATGAGCTTAAGGCTCTTAGCACCCTAAACATGGAGAAGTCAACAGGACCAGATGAACTACACCCTAAAATCTTGAGACATATTGCCGAATATATCGCAGCCCCACTGACTGTGATATTCAAAATGTCACTTGACCAAGGTGTGTTACCTATGGACTGGAAGGACGCAATCGTCGCTCCCATACATAAAACTGGTCTACGACAAGTTCCATCAAATTACAGACCCGTAAGCCTCACCAGTGTTGTAATCAAAATACTGGAAAGGATAATCAAACGGACCATAACAGCATTTATGGAAACCAATAACTTGCTGAACATGGCACAACATAGTTTTAGAAAGGGTCTATCCTGTACAACGAACCTCCTTATAGCTAGGGAGCTCTGGATTAATGCGCTAGACAACGGAAACTCAGTGGATGTTGTCTACATAGATTTCAGTAAGGCTTTTGACAAGGTGCTAACTAATAGACTGCTATTGAAGTTGGAAAACCTTGGTATTGCCGGACGTCTTTTAAAATGGATTAAAGATTTCCTAGTAGGTCGTAGGCAAAAAGTAAGAATAAATTCCAAGTGCTCCATCTGGAGACCAGTACTTAGTGGAGTACCCCAAGGTTCCGTCTTAGGTCCTTTACTTTTTGTAGTGTACGTTAATGATCTTACAAGTATAGTACAGTCTCCAATGTTATTATACGCTGACGATGTAAAAATTTGGCGAGTAATAACTGGAGACAAAGACGCATTTACTCTTCAGGCGGACTTAAATAATATGATAAACTGGTCTAAGGAGTGGCTAATGCCTATCAACTCGGAAAAGTGTGTCTACATGCACTTGGGGGATTCAAAGGTTAATACGTACAACATAGGGGATGTGTCATTACCCGTAGTCCGGTCTCATAAGGACCTAGGGGTGACAGTGAGCAATGATCTTAAGACGACGGCCCATTGCCGGGAGGTCGCAGTTAAGGGGTTTCGAACCCTCTGGGCTTTAAAAAGGACATTCACTAAGCTTGATACTACCATGTTCACCACATTATACACATCCTTAGTGAGAACTAAGTTAGAGAACTGTGTTCAGGCTGCAAGCCCCTGTTTCAAAAGTGACTCAGACATACTAGAAAAAGTGCAGAGGGCAGCTACGTGTGCAATTCCGGAACTCCGGGGTGTATCATATAAAGAGCGGCTTGAAAAACTGAACCTCTTTACTCTGTCCTATCGCAGACTAAGGGGAGATCTAATATTGATGTACAGAATACTGAGAATTGATTTCGGACCTAACTTATTCTCTCTCTTTCTTCCCACTAGATCGGGACACCTCAGAGGACATAGCAGGCGAGTAGAAAAGCCAAGAACGAACAAAATACCCGTGGCATACAGGTTTTCACACCGAGTCATCAATACTTGGAACCTGCTGCCTGAAGCATTGGTGTCCGCACCTTAAACTGACTCTTTCAAGGGAAGACTGGACACTCACAGAAGCATAATAGAAAAGGAATAACATAGGCCGTAAGTCTTCTGTCCTTACTACACAAATCTGAATCTGAATCTAAATCTGAGCAAAAAAACTGAGCATCGACAAAGGCGGTCCGATCAAAATGCCTGTTTCAAGGCGTGACAAGAAAGGTAAGCTCAGGACGTTCTCTGTATCCAGTCCTTTTCAGTCGAACTTACTCAGGTTCTAAAACATGCTCCTAAGAAAAAAGAGCACATTGCAAAGGTAGTAAATCGGTGGTAATCTTATGCAGCTTTAAGGTTCGTCAATATCTGGATGAATATGGAAGAGTATATGTAGTGACTCTGCAAAATCCTCGCACCCAAAAAGTTTCCGAAATACGAAAAAGCATGGTGAAAATCAAGTTATTCCTGATTTATATGATACACTGTTTAGGCTTCTATTTGGTGTCAACAAGGTGACGACTTTGGCGTTGGGTAAAACTCATGAAGATAGTTATCGACCAAAATTGCACCTTTTATCCAAATATCTTAAGGGACAGTGTGCCCTCCTATTTTCACGATCATCGCCTTCGGAATTACGTGAGCAGCTTGATGCGTTCCGGTCGTCAGAATACAGTAGACCAGGTGTACTTGCTGAGCAGACTGTGAGTTTTAATATTTCTTTATTGACCTAGTTCGTAATGCCATATATCATGTGACCCTGCAATTAAAAAACCTAATTAGATGTAACCCACAGTTGTGGTTCAAGACTTAATCGGTAATGTTAATCTCCATTTTATTCCGCTGAAGTATTTGTCCATTAAAATGAAGAAATCTGTTCTAAGAAGTGTTGACCCATAAAAATTTCTACAGAGAAATTCGGGTCGTCATTTCCATTATTCCACTGTTATGTTTTGCGTTCTCTAAAGTTATTGCATCGAGTCGTTCAAGAATGTCACTTTGAATGAGTGAGTGTTATCTAAGTGCTCCACAGTAAGCGGTGTCATTTCGAGCAGACTATCCCGTATATACATCATCGGTGGCATTTGCTTGACTGGCAGACCCTTAAAGGTGATCTGTTCCAGGTGGTCTAACTAACACATTTTCTAAACTTTCGAATCCTAACAAACTTCATAACTCGGTTGAAAAAACAAAGTGGCTACTTTCTGGGCTGAAATAATTTGATTTAAGCGATCGGGTGCCGTCATAACTATGATCTTACTTGTTACTAGGGTGACTCCAAACCGCTCATTTATGTTTTCAATAGATCGTACACGAAACCGTGCTTTCAACTGTCTTCTGAATCTTCAGTTTCATAAGACGATGGATATCAATGATGGCAATCATGTGTAAACTCATGTGACGAAAAAAACTACTGTCAGCCCCTTCGGGCTCCATGTCTATCTGAACACTACCAAATCTCATTTAAGAATAACAGTGTAATGGAAGTTAGAAGTTCAAAGAGGTAATTTGTCAAAAAACGATAACTTACATGATCTAAAGAAGTTAGTTTTCGGCCCGAAATACTATTCTCTTGGATTAAGATGGCGAGAAACTTATTTTATAACTTGTGTAGGTCAGTCGCACTCATCTTTTTCGTATTTATTTAGTAGAATACATATAAGTGAAATATCTCGCATATTCCTTTTCGTTGTTTCGTGAGAATAGCATATTCACTTAAATTTCCGTTTGCTTCCCATGATTTCAGTAGGATTAACTTTCTCACGAAGCTGAATATGTAATATTATTGTAAGAGTACCTTCATTCACCTGGTCATCTATTCTAGAGGCCTATGCTTGTGCAATTCTGTAGTCCTTATCCAGGTTCCTAAACACGTCGTGACAGACCATATATTACAATTTTCTACCCTGTCTCATATCAAGCCTACCAACCCCAGTTTTTCCACCCAGTTCCAACGTCTGCAAATAATGCACGAAGTGGAATCCACTGAGATGACATTCGTAACATATGTTCGAGTCACTGAAGCCAGTGTTTCAAGACGATGATACCAACTGGGTTATCTTCACCGTTCCTAAGCACTCATTGCCAAACCTCAGAATTACTTGTATGTTGCTACCAACGTAAGTCAACAATTCCTCCGTAATGAAGATGAATAAACAAAGAAAGTCATCGATCTTCGGCTCGGAGGCCAAGTTTCATAACTATAGAGCAATGCTCCTCTCACCGATGTGTTTCCAACCAGAATTCTTAATGCCTGGCCAGCATTAAAACCACCATGGATGACCCAGATCCCCATATTCCTCTTTGGTTTCCGTTATACATGAGTTGGTTTTGTCACTCCACCACTAGCACTCACAACACCACTACTGAGTTATATTACCCGTCTATAATTAGCGCGGACCCCAGATAAGTGGTCTGTGCTCATTAATATGGTTCAGTCCACTTGCCAGTGACTCCGTAGACTGGTGTCTTGTTTTGGTTTGTCTGACCCTAGTTTCTTTCCAATCTGCTCATACACCAGTAAATATTATGTGTCAGGTGGTGATTATACGTAAGTAGAACATGTCCCAACCACTTCAGTTGATGAATATTCACTATTTCACCAACCAATCTACCGTCTTTACCCCGTACTGCGCGTATAATCTCATTTCTCGTTCGGCGCTAACAATGCATAATTCTTTGGAAAAAGCTATGATCAAAAACTAGTGGTTTACGAACACTTTATTACTAATGGCCTTATCACAGTCATAAAATGAGTATAGTATAGTATAGTCATCCTCTTGTTGGAAGATAGAAATCGTGTCTACTATACAGATGAAATAAGTCGGCAAACGCCGACCGTACCTACTGAATCTGTGTTGAAATTACGTCAGATACCAGTACGTCAGGGCTAATAAAGACTCTCAAGATGTGTGAAGCGGTCAGCACACTCAACTGCTTCATTCCCTATCATTAACTCACTCATTGGTGTAGGCCAGTTCTAAAGCAAAATTCCGCACTTTGAGGGAGGAAATCCCATTCTAAATGTGCCTGGATTGTTGATTAAGGTCGTTAGGAGAATGTATTTTGTTAGCGTCGTCGACAGATTACTATGTCATTTGAATAATCAGTGAATCCTTTGGTAGAAGTTAAATCCTAGACCAGGCAGAGGTCGAATGCATTGTCTCTAAAAAGTTCTGAAGTTAAATAAAAATTGAGAAATTGCGAAACCCTTATCGACACCTTAAAGCCGGCAATTGTGATTGTGGTTCTCCATAAGCTCTAGTTCTGTCAGTTGCAGAGAGTTTGTACAAGGTTGGTTCATTTCTTTGGTACGCCTTTCAGTGACAAACACTCGTAAAACATGAACAAAAACGTCGAATACTCCCTTAACGTCAAGAAATACGACTATAGTCAGATATAGGTATGCACACCTCGGTTCTATGACACGACGATGGGTAGGTATTTGATCGCCATTCCCATATCCAGATCTAAAACTAGTCTTGTTTTGTCAGGTTTGTTGTTCACAAGCCCTAGTTAAGGATTGGAATGGGCTTTTGAGTTATTCTTTCTACTAACTAATTCTTTCTTCCTGTACCATATATTTATATGCAATCTTCCTTTTATATATTACCACCATTGAATTAACTACTTCTATGTATTCGGTGTTCATCTTATGCTAATGAGGTATGACAACTCGGACCAGTGCATATATATGCCTGATCCTACATTGTAACTAACTGAGTTATTTCACAAGTATTATATCAAACAGACAAATACCAACATGGAGTCTAGCACAGATATGCAACGGCCCAAATCCTCACTCCGGGTTAGCACGACAAGATAAGAGTAACACAAGAAATCAAAGTAATGTGTTATCAATTAAGAGAAAAAGACTAAACCTTTGAAATTTAGTCCGAAAAGACTATGAAAACGTATGTATGCAAGAAACAGATCGAGAGGAAGATAAATAATGAACTCATCTGCGCCGATGTGAACGATTCTGAGCTGTATCACCTAACGTCTCCAACCAATATTGGTGGTCTTTATCGCTCAGACCTCAACTAGGTAGCCTAGATTGGTCAATACGGCTCAAACCGACGGTTAATAACTTAATAGATCGATGCAGCGTTTTGATTTGTTCCCTCCTAGCTTTCTTCCAACCTACTTTTGAACTAGTAAGCATCACTTATCAAGGTAGACTGTAGCCAGGCCTACGTAATTCATGCTTCAACCATTTCAGTCAATGAACATTTACAACTTCAACCAATTCCCAACCTTTGCCAAGTACGATATCCTTGACCTCATTATTTCTCACTCGGTCGTTCCACGAAACCCGAACAATATTTCAAAGACAAATATGATCAGGAACATTCAGCTTTCACATGTCTTCTACTCCCATGTACCATGTGTTATATCAGTTCAGCTTTATTTGTGAATAGTTGTCGTAGGTTGGTTGCCTCCATTTGTTCTTGCGCGCTTGTTGACTGTCTTTTTGGTCGAATTCTGACCTTTTGATTGACTGATCATGTCCATATGGGTTGGTTTGTCGTACGTTGGTGTTTCTTTTGATTACCAATTGGGTTTAACTCCATGCTCCTAAAAATTCTCTGGGATTCTTGAGGTTTCCCAAATGGATATACGTCTATTGTTACTCACATGTATTGCTGTAAGTGATCATATAATATTTCGCCCCACTACTAATCTGCTTATATATGGGCAGGTAAACGAGACACCCACATTGTCCTATATGGTCTTTATCGTAGTTGATACGACTTCTTTTGTAAATAATGTTGCATTTGTCTTCTTTCACTGTTATCTTTCTGTCTTTGTTAACTGCAATAAAGTGATTGAATTGGTTCGTTTATTTTATGGAAGTAAAATTCATGAGCGTGTTTGTACTAGATTACTTTGATAGGTGATTGCTGAAGTCAAAGAGACGGTGGGGATATTTTATAATGACCGCTTGTTTGAAAACTAACTTACTGTGTTCTAGCTCATACTACTGTAAAATTCGAAGGCTAAGGTATTCCGAAGACCGCTATAACTGTTTATAACAGTAGATAACTTTGTTAATGACTTCCAAGAATTAGATAAAGATAGCTGTTTTTTGGAAACGATTGGTTTGGATTATGATCTCATGTTGGTTCAGCTATATTTTGCCTACGTAAATCTAAACTTGATGGAGAAAAACTTGAGTGACTTCTCCGAAATCGCTTCTAAAACAATAATTCTAAGCGTATTCAGAATAAAATCTTATGTGTTGTGCTTCAGACAGTTTTTCCCTATTTTTGTTCTTTTCGGTTACCGATTTATTTTCTATCGAAAATACCAGAGATTACTTACTATGATTTAAGGATCAATGTTCATTCCTAGCTAAAATAAGCTGTTCGTAAGTTTACGTGATAGTGTAGTGAACAGAACACAAGTTGAGACAATCTAATGTATTTGGCACAAAATTACAGGACTTGTTAATAACTAACAATCATGTAGTAAATACTAAATTTGCAAAATGTCCATCAGTTGTTTCAAAATGACTCAGACTTCATTGTTCCTGCATTTTCATAGAAATTGCATTCTGTTTCTATTCTTTACTGTTCGGTCCTCTTGTCTGCTACCACACATTCTGTTCACGACTAACATATACTACTTATGTCAATATAAGTAGCACACTCCACAATAGTATTGATGGGTTATTCTCCGTTATGAAATAATCACAGGCAATTTATACTCAACATTTGACGAAGTGTAGTGTATTTGGATATTCGCTGTTGATCCCTAAACTATGAATGCAATTTAGTACATCTGATTGCTCAAGATTTTCTTCGTGTACATTCTGTCTATTTTCAGGTCTGGATTGCATCTGGTCCGTTGCCCAAATTTCCTCACTCTATGGAGCCTGTTTTGCGCCAGTTAGGAATGCCTGTGAAACTAGTCAAAGGTGTTGTTCATTTGGAGAGAGAGTATCTTGTGTGCCGCAGAGAGGATGTACTTTCACCTGAACAGTGTCGTATTCTAGTAAGTAACGGTTGTGTTTATACAGCTCCACAATATTCATTCGGAACTTTTTCAAATAACAAAATAAATTCGTCAGATATCGCACACTAATATTCTTGTTCAACAACTTTCGGTTATTTTGTCAAACTTACAAATACATTCACCGATAGGTTTCACTCCATAAACTCTACAATGATTTATACTAATCATTTTGGTTGTCAGTAATACTCAATAAGTACATTTAGCGTAGTACTAAGTTAATTTGATTTTGCACCATAGACCTATATTTTTCTTTTCAAACTAAATAGTTCTTCTAATATGTTCGATGTATGTAAATTACAATAAAACTTACTTTCTTCAACAGGTTCTTTGTCGTTCACATTTTTTAGCTTTTGTATTAAGTATGGTCACCTAATACTAGTTTTTAAAATATTTCAAATGCTTTACATCGTTACCATTTAGTTTGAGGTTAAACTTGTAGTTTCAGTTGTACAGGATTTCATGCAGTAAAATAATCAACAGACTTGAAATGCTCTTCGACGGTCTCATGTATACTCACTGCCTTCTCGCACTGGCAGTGTATAACGATATTGGAAGGACGGAAAGCTAATGTTTCGGCACTTTAACCGAGTTTTTGGGTACGGAGGATCCACTTAGAGGAGTTAAAGAATGATCTCAAGTCACTAACTGGTTGGATGTTGAATGCTGTCACCGACTACAAGCACGGAACCAGTGTTTCAAAAACCACGTATGTCATTCTAACTGGTCTCCTTCAGCGTTCGCATACTAATGCAGATCGGATGACATATAAGGTTGGCTGTCTTTAGAAAGTTTCAACACCGATATCTGTTGTCTATCCGAGATTCATACTTAAGACTCTAGTGAAGTACTACAAATTCGCTCTCCATCTGTCTCTTCGAAAAGCTGGTTTCACGTGCGTTTATCCGAGCACCTTGTGGCATCTTCCTCTGGTGTGTTGACGTTTATGTCGCACTCAGCGTTAAAGTTGAGGCAGTACTTATCGATTGGATGCCTATTAACGATCGGTTATATATTATTAAGTTAAAAATTCCCATCATAGTGCGAAGAAATCGGTGTGAGATACGATGTCTTTTTGTTATCTCCGCCTATGCAAGACCACAGATGCCTTAGAAATATTGCTGGCGTCTGCTGGGATCACCGGGTAAGTAATAGTGAGGTTAAACACAGGGTATTAGGGAATGATGGTAAGTCAGTTGATGAGGTTATGAATCTTCATCGACTGAGATGGTTGGGCCACGTGCTACGTATGCCTGAATACCGATTACCACGACGTGCAATGCTATCCGGTATTCGAGATGGTTGGAAGAAAGTTAGGGGCGGCCAAACCAAAACGTGGCATCAGTGCTTGAAGTCACTAACTTCTAGTCTGAGCCATGTTGGTAGATGCAGACTACTTGGTTGGGGTCCGCGTGACTATCGTAACCGATGGTTGGAGACTCTTGGTGACATGGCTCAGAATCGATCACAATGGCGTCGGTGTATACACTCTCTGTCTTCCCTTAAACTAAGAGATTAAAATCGCTTCATATCTTTCTTTCTACGAACCAATTTTTTCTTCTTGTACTATATCTCTATATGCAATCTTCCTCTTATGTATTACCACCTTTGACCTAACCACTGCTATCAATCCGGTGTTCATCTTGTTGTGCTGATGCGGTATGGCAACCTGGACCGATGCACATATGTGCCTGGTCCTACGTTGTAGCTGACTGACTGACTATGCTAAGACCCGGATGCGTTTTATTACCAGTTACCTGTTCTAAAATGTGTGTCAAATAGGTATTGTAGTACTAATCGGAGACTTGAATCTACATATCTGGCGTCTAGGCATAGAGGAGAGTCGTTTTGGTGACCAATGGGGACTTGTTGGTCGCAGGTTAAATAACGGCGACCGTCTACTGCGACTTTGCGCAGAGTACAACCTATCTTTGGCTAACACTACCTACTGTTACAGTCATCGCCGATGTGCTACCTGGCATCCTCCTTTTGCATCTCAAACCTACCTGAACTTAGTGATTACACAGCGATCAGCTACCGCTGACATGGTTGTATACAAGACTGCCGTTCCTTTTGGAGCACCTATCTGGAATCTGATCATTGTCGTGTTTGCGCGAACTTTAAGTTTCAGTAGCCAAAAAATTCATCGTCCCGAAAGGGTCGATGTCAGCAAATTAGTTGCAGCTTCTACTTCAACTAAATATCAAACCGAGCTAGGTTCAAGGCTACTTGTCAGCCCATCAAAACATACCGATGAGCATTGGCAGCTATTGCATGACACCATGAAAATGGTGAGTAAAGTCGCTTGCGGCTTCGCGAAACGTATCACTTATGAGCACTGCGTTTTTTCAGGCTCCTTACAACTCATTGAAGCCCATTGGTCTACTCCGGGTGATCGCGAGTTTGACCACAAACATAGACTGTTACATAACAAAATTGATCAAAGCCTGGGCGAGGACCAAGAAAGCTGGTGGTCGAAGCGTGTCAATGAGTTAGAAGCAGCAGCTGCATCTGGTAACTGTCAGAAGCTCTTTCAGCTCATCCGAGTCAGTCAAACAATCTGAGGATGATGGGATATCAATCACTGACATCTATCGACGTATCGGACGATGGACAAAGTTTTTCGTGAAGAAATTCAACTGGTCTGATGTCCCGATGACATCGCTTAGACTGTCCTTCACTAAATGGCCAATGAAGACTGATCCACCTGACGAGGCAGAAGTCTGCAAGAAGCTCTAACTTCCGAAGAACCACCAATCACCAGACTCAGATGAATTCCTGCGCCTCTTAAAGATATTTTGGCGACTTTTTAACTAAGGAGTTGACTGAATTGTTCCATTCAAGCAGTGGGGTTGGGCAGGGTTCCTCAACCTCACCATTCCTCTCCAACTTTGATATCTATGACGTTCTGGAAACAGCTCTGGTGGATGTAGGTAATGGTGGTGTAGATCTGTTACCTGGAGAAAGACTTCTCGACCTTGAGTATAAGGATGATATTGTCTTACTGTGTGATTTTACCCAAACAATGTAATTTCCGCTTAGTCAGTCGATAATCAGTGTTCGCAGATATGGAGTGTACTTTCTACTTTCTAAATGCGAAGTAGTTGAAGAGTTCATGCGAACGGGTAGCTGTGTAAGTGCTGGTGGTGGCGTGACTGAAAGGTAAGAGAACCACGAAGGAAAGCGTACTTGAAGCATTAGGATCGTATTGACAACTGTATAGATTTGTCTGCCGAATTACTAGGAAGCTACTTTGTATGTTATTGTCTATGCTGATTTGTTTTATTGGCGACAGTCATTTATAAGCTGATTTACTTGGTCTCCACTAAAATGTGACGTTTGTAACATTAGTTTTTGCTGGTTTATGGTCACTTCAATTAATTTATTGATAATAAGATCGAATTGAATATGATTGTGGTAGTATATTGTGCAGTTAATGAAATTTCAAGTATTTCCTTAAAACTAGTCTTCCCAAGTAAATGGTCCGTAACAAATCTTTCTAGAGCATTACTGATATTTACAATTAGTGTGCTTAAATTCAAGGTGGCAAAATGGTGCATATTCAGCTACTTGAGTCTCGTCTAATCAAATCAGATTTAGTTATAAAAGGTAACGATACCCAGTTTTCACTTTCGATTCTAAAATGATCTCACTTTTTCGTTGTCTATTCCGGAAACATTTTTTCGCCTAGAGATATGATTTTCAAAAGACTGCATACCTTAACATCTTTCTTGACATCGGCTTAATGGCGTTGTAGTAATGTAGTCAACGAGAACACAAGTGGGGACAACCGAATGTCTTTTAATACAACAATTCAGAATATCTTTATAAAATCTGGGAACCATACAATAAATACTTCATTTGCAAAATACCCATCAATTGTCTCAGACTTTTTTGTCCTTTCGCTTCCATAACGATCACTCTCTGTTCTCGTCCTCTTCGATTTTCTCAATCTTCTGCCGTTAGGCACTCCACTTTCGATTGGTGATACATACATACATACTACTACACACACCACAGGACTTAATTTTCCCGCATGTTGATCTGAAAACTACTCAACCACCTGTCGAAACAAACTCGGTATCTATTATGAAGAATAATTGAATCTATAAATACATTGATTTATTCGGATGTATTTTAGTGAATCTAGTATGTTTCTTGAAACGGATCGACATCTTTCCGAAAATAAAGTGATGACCGTACGATAACGACATTATGTATATTAGTAATTGCGACTTGGGTAGGTTCAATCTTCAATACAATGTTTTATTGTTTTGGTAACTAAAAAGGAAACTGTTTCAGCACCTCCATTGACTCTGATTTCGAACTGATGCATAATTCCTTCAACTTTTCGGAATGAATCTTAGACCGAAATAACCATTTTAATTTCATGGTAATGTTTCACGTAATGACGACTTTTCTCAGCATCTGTAGTAGCTGGACATGGTTGTAGTTTTTGTCAGACTTGTTCAACTGTTTTTATCGATACTTGTGGGTTTATGTATGTATATCCATTTAAATTGTACAAATTATTACATGTTGTTTCGTCTTCTGATGAAATTTTCATTTTTATAATCACCAGTGTTAAGAGATGTGTACAAAATATACACCACCCTACTGTTGAAGTAGTAGTTTGTAATTTTTTTTGTATTTGTTTATAAGTTATTATTTTCGAATTATTTTGTATTTCAGAAGTTATTTCAAATTGAAATCTCCGAATTTCGCGTTGGCCTGCTTGCAGTTTGGACAGACGGTGAGGGGGTCGAAGAGTTAACAGAAAAAGATAGTTGTATGATGCGCACTTCGCTCCATCCTGAAGTTCTTGTTGTTTGTAAACAGTTAGATGATGGTTTGTATTACTTTATTCCGCAACCATATGAAAATAAAGGCGAATCACTTGTTAACGAAGCTATGGAAGAGGACTAATACTTTTCTAAATATATAATTGTAGATACTATTGTGAATAATTTTTTAAGTCATTCGAGATAAGGTTTGCGATGAAATATAAGGTTATTCTGTGCCAAATGTCTTCCTTAAATACTCTGACTCCGACTCAACCATTTAATGAAGTAACACTCAGACAAATCTAATTAAATTTAGTGTAAGTTAACCTACTAAGACTGTTCAAACTATATTATCACTGTGAAGGTGTCAATAAACAAATTGTCATTATTATTACTAATTGCCTTGGTTTCAATTTCACTTCAGAGCTGAATTTTTATAAACGCTAGTTTTCTGTTAATCAATTTCTTTTGTAAGAAGTGTTTCCATTATTAGGATAGAATTATTCAGTCTGAATTTGTCATCTTTATACGCCAAAGTGGTTCGATTGTATCCTCAGTTATCGTCAGAGACGAACATGAACAACTTGTGACGTTGGATAATATATGGTTTAGAGTTGGCTTCCTACAGTGAAACTATTTGCTAATTTTTCTATGCTTTATCATAAGGTACTACCATCCTTTTCGAGTGAATCCATAGACATGTTTATCTCGTTTATACACATATAATGACGGCGGAAAAGGCTGCAAGAGAAGGAAACATGAGACAACTGTATGACACGACAAAGAAACTCTGGAAATCGCCGCAAACCAGAACGACCAGTGAAAAGCAAGGAAGGCTAGGTAACCACCAACATTGAAGACCAACAACACAGGTGGGTAGAACACTTCAAAGAACTCTTGGATCGACCAGCTCCACTGAACCCAATCAACATCGAAGCAGCACCCACGGACTTCCTAGTCAATGTTGACTCACCAACAATTGAAGAAATCAGCATGGCCATCAGGCAAATCAAGAGTGGCAAAGCAGCAGAACCAGACAATATTCCAGCAGAGGCACTGAAAGCAGACATAGCGGCAACTGCAAGTCAGTTAGTTAGTCAGCTACAACGTAGGACCAGGCACATATGTGTATCGGTCCAGGTTGCCATACCGCATCAGCACAACAAGATGAACACCGGATTGATAGCAGTGGTTAGGTCAAAGGTGGTAATACATAAGAGGAAGATTGCATATAGAGATATAGTACAAGAAGAAAAAATTGGTTCGTAGAAAGAAAGATATGAAGCGATTTTAATCTCTTAGTTTAAGGGAAGACAGAGAGTGTATACACCGACGCCATTGTGATCGATTCTGAGCCATGTCACCAAGAGTCTCCAACCATCGGTTACGATAGTCACGCGGACCCCAACCAAGTAGTCTGCATCTACCAACATGGCTCAGACTAGAAGTTAGTGACTTCAAGCACTGATGCCACGTTTTGGTTTGGCCGCCCCTAACTTTCTTCCAACCATCTCGAATACCGGATAGCATTGCACGTCGTGGTAATCGGTATTCAGGCATACGTAGCACGTGGCCCAACCATCTCAGTCGATGAAGATTCATAACCTCATCAACTGACTTACCATCATTCCCTAATACCCTGCGTCTAACCTCACTATTACTCACCCGGTGATCCCAGCAGACGCCAGCAATATTTCTGAGGCATATGTGGTCAAATACTTGTAGCTTACGAGTATCTTCAACGCTTAATGACCATGTTTCGCAGCCTTGAAGTAAAACAGAACGAACTGTCGCGCAGTATACTCGTCCTTTTATTGATAGACGGATATCTCGCCTTCGCCAAAGGTGACGCAAGTTGGCAAAAGCCAAGCGAGCTTTTCGAATCCGTGCTGAGATTTCGTCAGACACCAACCCATTAGGGCTGATCAGACTTCCAAGATAAGTGAAGTTGTCAACGCGTTCAACTACTTCACTCCCTATCCTTAGTTCAGGTGTTAACGCAGACCAGTCCTGAAGCAACAACTTGCATTTAGAGGAAAAGAAGCGCATTCCAAACATTCTGGCATTGTTGCTCAGTGCTACCAGAAGACTTTGCATTTTGTCAGCGTCTTCACCAAACAGGACTATGTCATCTGCGTATTCTAAGTCGATAAGTGGACCTCCTGGTAGGAGATCAATACCCGAGAATTCAGTCGACGAGAATGTTATTTCCATCAGTAGATCTATGATTAAGTTAAACAAAAATGGAGAAAGTGGACAGCCTTGACGGACACCACTTGAGGTTGCAAAAGTAGATGACAGTTCGCCATAAGCTCTCACTCGACTAGTAGTGTTCGAGTAAAGAGCCTTTACAAGGTTTATGTACTTCTGGGGTACGCCTTTCAATGACAGACACTGCCACAGAATCTCGCGGTCTACAGAGTCAAATGCTGCTTTTAAGTCGAGAAAAACCACCATTGTCGGACGCCGATAAGTATGCCTGTGTTTTAGAATCTGACGAATGGTGAATATGTGGTCGATGCAGCCACGATCAGGTCTGAAGCCAGCTTGAGTCTATTGTGTTTGCAGTTCACGAGTCTTAGTTAGGCGTCTGATAATTATCGAGGCTAGTATTTTAGATATTATATTAGTTAAACTAATCCCTCTGTGGTTGTCACAGGATGATTTTGACCCTTTCTTATATATTGGGACGATAAGTGATTGTGACCAGTTAGATGGGATAACGTCTAACTCCCAGATCTTAGCTAAAATGTTAGTCAACCTAATCGCTAAAATTGGACCACCATCCTTAAAGACCTCTGAAGCCAGTCTATCTGGACCAGCTGCCCTTCCTCGTTTCAGACTAACTATAGCCTTTTGAACTTCAGCAAGATTTGGGGGACCTACTTCAATGTTCCATTCACGCTGTCTGGGAATGGAGGGTAGTTGTAGAGTAGCTGAAGGCCAGTTGAACTGTTCTCTGAAATGTTCTGCCCATCGTTCTAAACGTCTGGACTGGGAGCAGATGAGAGTGTCGTCTTTTTCCGATATAATCTCACTTACACTTGACTTATTAATTCCAGTTTCTTTTATTAGTCTGTAAAGCTGTCTTGTATTCCCTATAGTCGCCGCCTTTTCCATCTCTTTTGCTTTCGTTGCCCACCACTGCTCACGGTCGTTTCTTAGACCTTTTCTTAACCTAGATCTGATTTGTTGTCGCTCTTCATCATGTTCGGAACCTGATGGGACGATTTTGCGAGAATCCATCAGTGTGATAGACTTTGAAGAAATCCACTGGTCCTTTGTAACTCTGTGGTTTAAGTCGCTAATAGATGTCACTGCTGTTTCCACAGCTGCTTGTATGTCTTTCCAAGCAACATCTGGGTCAGCCTAGTCTTCAGAACTACCTAATTGTGAACTCAGTTGTTCTTGGAACCTATTTATGGTTTTCTCGTTACTCAACTCAGTTCTAATGGGTCTTTTTAATGTGGCTTTTTTGCGTCCAGTGAGGCGCAAGCAGATGCGTGCCCGTATTAGGGCGTGGTCGGAGTCCAAGCAGGTACTCCAGAATGAGCGACAATCTTCTACCGACCCTCTCCAACGATGACTGATGGCAATATAGTCTATTTGAGTCCATCGTTGGTTTGGTGTAGGGGGTCGCCATGTTAGACGATATCTCTCCTTATGCTTAAAATTTGTGTTTGCTAAAAATAAACGATTGTCTGAGAACAGTTGCAGCAGACGATCACCATTATCTGTTCGCTGTGCCGGAATGCTAAAATATCCACCTAAATGCCTTTCTGTTTGGTTTAAGCTACCTATCTGAGCATTAAAGTCACCCTCTACGAGTACTATGTCTGAGCGTTTAGCTTTCTGAAGAAGTTCAGAAAGCTTTCTGTAAAATTCATCTTTCACATCATCTGAGCTGCAGTCAGTGGGAGCGTAGGCAAGAACAACGAAAAGGCAACGACGTGTGTCCCTATCCTTCCGAGTTCTTACGGAGCCGTTTAGCCGAACAGCACATAGACGACTGTTGACCGGGATCCACTCTAGCAGTGCTTGTTCCGCCCTCATGCTTAGTGCTATGCCTACACCTGCCAGTCCACGAGAACTGGCCATCGGGTCACCAGATACACATAGGGTGTATCTCGTTGGTTCTCCGTTTTGCCGAGGTGAGGTCAAGTGAATGACCACACTGGAATCCTGTATGCGTGTTTCGGAGACAAAGCATACATCAATGGAAAGAGACTCTAGGGTTTTAGCCAAGGAAGCCTGCTGACCGATTTGACATAGGGTGCGTACGTTGAAGGCTCCAATGTGTAGTTTGGAGCGAGGTTTCAGTAGACCTGGGACAGAGTTTTGAGCACTAGAATCGTTGGCTATGGTGACACTTGAGGAGGAAGCCGAAAGAGGACATTTAGAGTTGAAAGTCGATGTAGGAGGAATAATAGGAATTGAAGAGGAAGGTTGATTATGAATACAGTTGTCTTGGATGCTGTTAGAGGTATGAGGGCCGTTATCACTTCCCGGTTGCCCACATCGAGGAAGGGTTCTTCTGGAGGTACCTGAAAAGGAAATTGGATTAGAGGCGGTCTCAGTGACCTGAGAGCGTGACCGCAGTGCCCAAGGGACAACTGCTTGAGGCCGGTCGCGCACGGCCTTTTCGTGGGAGGTTTTTGACGTGTTAGCTCCGTTTTTCAAAGGGCCTTACCGCCAGAGACGGAAATCCGTGAGGTAAGGTGAGGTGTACACTTTTAGGGTCGACCTTTTCTAACCCCACCCCTCCTTGTGGGAAGGCAGCATCGCTGTCATGCTGGTTGTCTGAAGGAAACACCTTACTGCTGTAACACCTCTGTACAGTCAGCAGTACGACTTCGCCTTCGGACCTTGGGTTTGTTGCTTTTAGTCTTACCGCTCTTCAACCGACCTGTCTGACATGGTAGGACCTTGAGGAACGGTTGTTCCAGCCAGTATAGCTCGGTTGCCTCATCACGATAGGCAAGCCCGACCACCACGTCAAGGTAGCAACAACGGTCGGGAGAACATATCCAAGCCACCGAATTTGGTGTTTCAAGATGGTGACATCGATTGCATTATCGTCTCTGTGCCCGAACACACGATGCCGAACCTCTGCATTACTAACATGGTGTTGCCACTGGATGTCAGCAATCCTTCGGAGACAACAATGATCGAACACAGAGAGTCGTCTAACGTCCTCAACTCGGAGAGGCCAGGTTTCACAAGCATAGAGAAAAACTG